CTAATTATTATAAAAGGTCGTTCTGCTTAAGCACTTTAAAAAAACAAGCCACCAGTATGTTGGAAGTTTCAGTCCCTTTATTTTTTTTTCTTTATTAAGGTATTACATATGTGTCCTTATCCCATTGCCCCCCCGCCCCCCCCACACACACACACACTCATGCCCTCACTCCCTTGATGTCTGTGTCCATTGGTTAGGCTTATATGCACACATACAAGTCCTTTGGTTGATCTCTCCCCCTTACCCCCACCCTCCCCTACATTCCCTCTGAGGTTTGATGGTCCCTTTAAATAAATATGACTGTTTTGCCTTCTTTCCACGTAAATCTGATTCTTATGTTAACCTGTCTTGGTAGCAGAATATATTAAAATACTTGTGTTATGTTTAATATGCTCAGGGGCAATCTATTCCTTTTGTAAACAAAAAGCTCATTAATACATTTTCCAAGTTGAAAATTAGCTGTTTTCCAAAAGTTTACATTTAAATCAAGTGTTTGAAACTTGAAACACATTTTCCCACAGAAATGTTATTACAAACAGTGGTTAATTCCCAGGCCTGCCCGGTGAAGCTCATTAAATTCATTATAAGCAAAAAGACATTTGCAATGAAAATAGTATAAAGTTATATTATGAAAAAAAAGCTTGTCTTTTAAATTCAAAAGATAAATTTAAAAGTACAACTTAAATGTATTCAGATTAATTCCATCGCCGGAAGTGTTTGAGCCAGGAGCTCACTTTGGGCCTCTGCATATAACCTTAAATACTGTAAATGTGGAAAGGGAGGAGATTGGAAGGCATTGACTGGGCTGGGTGGTAGATGGAGACCCTATGCACAGTCTGGGAAGGCAAGTATGTTGTTTTCACTCAGACTGGGTGGGCGGTGGGAGGGTTTCTCCTGTGATTTCTGGGTATACAATGAAACTGGTGCTCAACAGGATGGAAAAAGAAATAGAAAGGGGACGTGGCTCCTCAGTCTTAGAATCAGTAATGTGCTACTACCCAGAGGGTGGGTAACAGGATACGTCTGGTGGCAGTTGGTAAGCCCAAATGAGCAGCTAGCTACCTCGTCAAGCTGGTGGGACCTCAGTCCCCAGGTGGGCAGCAGCAGACCTTGGACTTGAGCCTCGCACAGCAGTGTGCTACCTAGCAGAGGACAAAGAAAGAACGCAGGCTTACATAGGAGACCTGTGGGCCAGCTGACGGGAAGTGAAAAGGACATCCATTTCCAACGTGGAGGATCAGAAGAGGAAACAGGTAAGAGGTAGAAATGAAGTTTCTCAGAGGGGTGCCAACCAAAATGTTAGACCCAGCTGGAGCCACCATTTCTAAAGCACAGCAAGGCCTACGTTTGATGTGTTTCAGGTTTGTCTATCCCGGTTTGAGGAGGCACTTTATAAATCATTTTGTTTTATAAACACCACACATTTGTTAAAAGAAATAAGAAAACATTGTATCACTAAAAAAACTGTAAGAGCTTTTCAAAAGCAACTTAAAAACAAGTATCTTTTTTTAAAAAAAAAAAATGTATTTCCAAGTATTTTTTTAAAACCATCGGTGTGGCTCAGTTGGTTGGGCATCATCTCGTGCACCGAAAAGTTGCCTACTCGATTCCTAGTCAGGGCCTAGTCAGGGCACATGCCCAGGTTGTGAACTTGATTCCTGGTAGGGGGCGTGCAGGAGGAAGCTCTCCTCTCTCTCTCTCTCTCTCTCTCTCTCTCTCTCTCTCTCTAAATCGACTTTAAAAAAATCTTAAAACCATATTTTTTAAAATACATCATGGACTTAAAACAAGAAAAAATGTTTAAACAGTTCTTCCTTTCCTTCTCTAGATACCATCTCCACCAGTGCTTCTAACCCGATAGCCTTCCTTCCATGCCTCTCTTAATTTTCCATTCAGTGTTCAAATGTATGGATGCATTTTTTAAATATATTTTTATTTATTTCAGAGAGGAAGGGAGAGGGGGAGATAGAAACATCAATGATGAGGGAGAATCATTTATCGGCTGCCTCCTGCACGCCCCACACTGGGGATCAAGCCCACAACCCAGGCAAATGCCCTGACAGGGAATCGAACCATGACCTCATGGGTCATAGGTCGATGCTCAACCACTGATACATACCAGCTGGGCTGTATGGATGCATTTTTACAAAATTTTATATGCCACAGTATGTACAATATTGATAATATCCCAGAGGCAAATCTTAGCAGCTATATGACATTCCATAACATAGATATGCCAAATTTATTTAACCATTTCCTTACTGACAAGTATTCTTGGCTGCTTCCTTTATTTTACTTTTTGCACTGGAAATACTACAATAAAAATCTTCATACATATATTTTGTGTTATCCAAAAAGCTCACCAGCTTACAATAAAAGTTTGTTTCTTGCTCACACTACTGTCCGCTGCAAGTCAGGGTGTTCTTGCAGTTTGCCTCCAGTGGTGCTTCAGGGATCCACCTTTTTGCTGTTTTACAGGCCTTCGTACCAGCAGCCAGGATGGAAGAGGGCTTGGAGGATGACAAGGAAGGACTGGTGAGGAAGGCTGGATGTGCCTCCAGACACTTCTGCCCCAAATCCATTGGCTACAACCCAATCATGTGATCCCAAACTAACTGCAAGGGAGGCTGGGAAATGCAGTCTTCCTATAGGCCCAGATGTAATAGATGAGCATTTAGACAATTTTGCCAAATATCTCTATATTGGTGGATTTATTGCAAATGATATATTCCTGGACTGTGAAATTTCTATGTGAAGTGTGCGTGTGTGTGTGTGTGTGTGTGTGTGTGTGCGTGTGTGTGTGTAATCACTTTGCAAAAAGACCACAAGTCCTATTTCTAAATCTACCCTTTATAGGCACTGAAAACCTGGAAATTCAGTTGGCTAAATTTGTGTCAGCAGGGCCCTGGCTTAACTTCCACATAATGAGAGGCCTGCATTGACAGATGGCAGAATAGCACGTGGTACAGTGACTTCCAGGTGATGAGCTGCATTGTGCCGATTGCTGGCAGTGGCCTTCCCTGAAATTCCTGCACTACCGGACTTTCTAAAGCCAGCCATCTCTCCTGCCTTGTTTCCTCAGTCTTTCTGACAGTTTAGTGAACGTCTAATTTCTTGTTAAATTCTCTTCCTACTTGAAATATTTAAAGCACTAACTTATATATCAACCTAGTGTTTGTCTTTTGTCTTTGTATATGGCCCATTATTTTTCTACAAATAAATGTTTAATTTTTATTTTCAAATACATTTGCTTTACATTATAGCTATGGGGTTTCTATCTTCCCAAGCCTCAGTTAACGTAAATATTCTCTAACACTTCTAATTTTTATCTTTTCTATTTAATTCATTAATCTGGAATTTTTTTGCAAATATTGTAATCACATTTTCCCACTTAGCTGAAATACCATCCTTGTCCAAAATGTCTTGATCTATTTGTAGGCCACCTAATCTATTCCAGTGATGTATTTGCCCATTCCTAAGCAATGCCATATGTGTTGATTGCTGTGGCTTCATATAAAATACTTAAACAATTGGTTTATCAATTCAACAAAGATCATGTAAAATGTTAACTTTCCTAACAGGTTAACTCAGTTGTAAACAGAACTCAGAATAAAACTTAACTATCTCTGGGCATGTATTTGAACTTTCTATAAAAATTAATAACAGAAATAATTGAATGCTTGGCTAATCTAAGGAAACAATGGTCAATCCTAACCTGATTGCAAATGTTTGAGAGCAAACTCACTCTTCTCACTGATTGCTTTTACAGTAACTGAACATTGTGTTATTGAATTTATAAAGTAACTGGAGACCCAGCGCACGAAATCACGCAAGACCCAGACCCGGCGTGCTGTGGGACACAGAGTCAAGTCCCTCCTGGTGACCAGTCTTTGGTCGTTGCAGTGTTATGATCACTGGGTTTTTATTATATAGATGTCATCCTTCTCAATGTTTTCAATCATTCAGTTGTTTATTTTTTATTGATATGTAATTCACATACCACTGAGTTCGCCCTTTAAAGTGTTCAATTTGTTGTCGTCACAACTAGCTACTTAATATTAATAATAGGAAAAGGACAGGAGGCCAGACATTATAAGCATGGTCATCTGGGCAGCTTCACCTTCCCCAGGGAATCACAGGTCCATTCCCTGCAGATCACTGGGGGAAGGGACCGAAGAAAGGGGGACATGGGCACATGTGCAGTGAAGTCAGGGTGATGTAGGGATGAAGCTTGCCTGTCAGTCTAGCCCAGTGGTCGGCAAACTCATTAGTCAACAGAGCCAAATATCAACAGTACAACGATTGAAATTTCTTTTGAGAGCCAAATTTTTTAAACTTAAACTATATAGGTAGGTACATTGTTATTAACTTAATTAGGGTACTCCTAAGGCTTAGGAAGAGCCACACTCAAGGGGCCAAAGAGCCGCATGTGGCTTGCGAGCTGCAGTTTGCCGATCACGGGTCTAGCCTGAAAAAAAAAAGATAATTTGGCTAGGAGGACGGAGCCATTGCAAGCACACAAAATCTTGGAAGGATAAAATCCTCAGAGTTCCCTCTCTCTTGTGCTCCTTATTCCCTCTCTGTCTCTTGCTCCATGACCTGCACTCGCCTGTGCACACGCCTATTTCCTCTCCATAACCACAGGGCTCAGGACAGTGCAGACCCCACACACAATGGAGTGCAGCTGGGAACACGAGCTAAGCTAGCCAGATGCTGGACTGGACTGGGTTTTCATATGGAGTAGAAACTCTGGGCAGTGGCCTTAACCCTGGCCCTGCTGATGATATGACTGGACTTTTTCCATGGTGGATGGGACCTTGGAGGAGAACCCCCTGAATTTTACATCATCAATAAAGTTTTCCATGAAACCCCATCCTCCTGAGGGGGCCTCAGGAAATTATTTTCCCCATGGCACCCAAGAACTCCACTTCTGCTGATAACAAATTCAGTGGCTTTTAGTACATTCACATCTATAAGTGCACTGATCACCTCTTACCTAATTCCTGTTTGTCTAATTTTTTTATTATTCAAAAAATGGAAAAACAAAAGTACAATTTTCTTTCAATAAAAAAGTCATCTGATCCTCATGCAGTTATATTGCAGAACGTGAAGTCCATGATTTTAGAACGATGGTAGCAATTTACCAACCAAGTAATCAGTTTTCACACAGTTTCAATAATTGCAGCAATTTCCTTGAACTGTCTGTAGAAATTCTGGAAAGGAGAAAAATAATGTTAATTTTGCTTTCAGAGGTAATAATATCTGACCACCAGAGGCTATATAACATTAAGATTATATTTGAATGTGATATTCTGAACTATTATTGAAGGTTACTCTGAGGGAAAAAAGAGGCATAATTTGGTACTATAAGAAAACTATTGCAGAGTTGGATAACTAGCACATAACTAAACTTTTCAAAAAGTATACAAGAAAGTTCTTTTGAGATCACACCAGAAAGGTTTATTAACTAGCCAGCACTGTCTTAGACACTGAAGATTAAAATAACAAAAAATGACAGGTTGGTTCCCAGGCCTCAAATCACTTTACATCTAGTGAAAGACTGCATTTCAGGGTGATAGGGGCTGTTTTGTTTCAGATATGGATTCAATTGCAATATGAGAGACCCAACATTGACAATGGCTTAAATGGTAGAAGCTTATTTTTCTTTCATTTAAAAATTGAGCTAGTCTGATAGTTCTCCTGTAGAAGTCATCTTTTTTCAAATTCAGGTAAGAAAGGGATCAAACATATTCTGTCTTCCTTCTCTTCAACCTGCCAGAAAGTAGGGAGGCAAATTTAAAATTTAACCTCAGCAAAAATGATTTACACATTTGCCTTTTCCTTCTTTTTTAGTTTTAACTCTCTACTGGTACTTAAGAGTGTATTTTGTTTTAATTTACATGTAAATTGATTATGGAATGAGAAGGATGTGACTATTTCTTTCAAAATATATACCAACTAAAGGCCCAGTGCACGAAATTTGTGCCCTCTTGCAGTCCGAGACCCCTCAGGGGAGATCAAGCCTAAGCTGGCAGTCGGACATCCCTCTTGCAGTCCAGGGTTCTTGCAGTCCGGGACCCCTCGCTCCTTACAGCCCGCATGCAGTGGAAGCGAGAGAGGCTCCTGCCACTGCTGCTGCACTTGCCAGCCGTTCATCTGGCTTCTGGCTGATCAGCACTCCCCTGTGGGCGCACACTGACCACCAGGAAGCAGCTCCTGAGTTGAGCGTCTGCCCCCTGGTGGTCAGTGCACATGATAGCAACCAGTTGTTCTGGTTGTTCCGCTGTAATGGTCGCTTAGGCCTTTATTATATAGACTAGAGGCCCGGTGCACAAAATTCGTTCACCGGTAGGGTCCCTAGGCCTGGCCAGTGATCAGGGCCAATCTGCGGGGCCATCAGGGGACCCCTGCAACCGCCAGTTGGGGCCTGCTGGCTGGAGGCAGTTCCTGCATTGAGTGTCTGCCCCCTGGTGGTCAGTGTGCATCATAGTGACCTGTCATTCCACCGTTAGGTTGATTTGCATATTAGGGTTTTATATAGGAAAACTTCAGTTGGCTGGGCCTAGTCTATGCACCGATAGGTTGCCTGTTCAATTCCCAGTCAGGGTACATGCCTGGGTTGTGGGCCTGGATCCTGGTAGGAAGGTTTGTGCAGGAGGCAGCAGATTGATGTTTCACACTCATGTCAATGTTTCTCTCTCTCTTTCATTCCCTTTCCCTTCTCTCTGTAAAAGTCAAGGTCAAAACTTCAACTACAAAAAAAGATATAAATTGAAAGCTCAAAGAATGTTGCCAAGGTTTCAGTCCTGTAATTTGACTAACGGGCTCTGTTTTCCTCATTAGATGTTAAGCCATGTAAAAACTAACTTTAAAAGAGTTGCCCCATTTGTGTGTGTTTTTCCTATGAGAAGAAAAAAATTCTGCAGGTGGAATCAGAGCACATAAAGGCTACACAGAAAAATAAGAATTAGACCAAGATCCTGAATTATAAAAAGAACTGAAATCTATATTCTCTTTTGAAATTGAAGGGGTTCTTATATTCAGTTGAAGGCTACTCACAAATCACAATATACTATATTTATTTCCTTTTTAATGAAGTCCTAATTCCTTTAAGTTATTAATTAATTAGCATTATTAATGCTGAATCTGTGACCATTCTTTTTCGTTCTAAAGCAGATATCAGTTTTAAAAGAAAGAAATCAAAAGGAGGAAAAAACCTTAAAATGTAATTTGTAAAATAGAGCTACCATATGATCCAGCAACCCCACTTCTGTTCCAAAGGAAATAAAATCACTATCTCAAAGACATATCTGCACTCCTATGTTCATTGCAGCTTTATTCACCATAACCAAGGTATAGAAGCAACCTAAGTGTGTGCTGACAGATGAGGGGATAAAAAAATGTGATATATAAAAACATATACAATATAAACATATTTATACATATGATATATAAATGTATATACATACATTCACAACAGGATACTATTCACCCTTAGAAAGAAGGAAATCCTGCTATTTTGACAACATGAATGAACCTACAAGCCAGAAGACACAGAAAGACAAATATCGCCTGCTCTCATTTATATATGCAATCTAAAAAAGTGGAACTCATAGTAACAGAGTAGACTGGTTACCAGGACTGGGGAGTGGGGAAAATGTGGAAATGTTTGTCAAATTACAAACTTTCAGTTATAAGATGAGTAAGTTTTGGAGACATAATGTACATCTGGTGACTACAGTTAATAATAATGTGTTATATGCTTGAAATTTGCCAGGAGAGCAGATCTTAAGTGTTCTCATCATACAGACACACATTAAGTGAGGTGACATAGTTTAATTAGCTTGATTGTGGTAATCATTTCACAATGTGCGTATAACCAAAATATTGCCTTGTACACCTTAGATATATAAAATTTTTATTTGTCAATTATACCTTAATAAAGCTGAGGGGAAAAAGTAAAAGAAAAACTCAAAAGTGGCTTATGAGAGGTTTTTCTAGGAGTACTAACTGCTGTGAAGATTCTTATCTGTTCACTCAGCTTGAAATAAAAAAAACAAAAACAAAACCCTAACACCAGTTAAAGTACTTAATGACAACACATTTCCCTATATGTACATTTAAAAAAATGTAATTTCTCATCTACCCTCTTTTTTCTTCCTTCCTTATAGAAAATAGGTAGAATGCTAATATGACTAACAGGACTCCAAATATAAACAATTCAGATACTCAAATCTCTAGCTAACAGAACTAATCATCAAGTATTAGTGTTCTGATCTGCTTTTTATAAACATTATTAGTCAGAAGATTCAAGGTTAACTCTATTAAAAATAAGATTCATTTAGCTCATCATTCTCAAATATTAAACTTAAAAAGAATAAAACAGTTAAAAGCAAAGTAAATATCCTGCCAGAGAAAATGAAAACTTTCTAAATATATTACAGAAGACTACTATGAAAGTGATCAAATGTTACAGTATACAAATTCAGCATATTATATTGAAAACAACTTATCAAATTCCCAGAGAAAACAAATTCAGATCTTGTATACTAATAAATAGAAAGCACATCAAAACAATTGTAAATAAAAACAATTAATATCCCCCCTTAAGAAAGATTTTATACATAATGTTAAGCAGCAATGACAGAGCAATGAGCTACAATTGACTGAATTAAATCACAAACCTGAAACTGTGGAATTGTCATTTCAAAAGACTTGGTCTTTACTTGGCCTGAATGATCTGCCACTTTTAGCATCACTGCAACATAAGGATACTTAAGTGATCTGCAACTGTCTGAGCTCACAGCCATACCCAGTTTCCACTGAAAATCTACAAGCTGTAATGAAACAGTACAAAACAATACATTGGTAATAATATTGCTCTGAATTCAGATATTTATTTAATTTTACTGCTCTCACATTCAACTTTTGTCAATCATAGTTAAAGAAAATATCTTTATCCTAATATTGCTGGAGGAACAACCACCAAATGAAAATGGAGAGGCAATAGGGATATAGACAGAGTTAGAAAACAATACTGTGCCCTAGTCGGTTTGGCTCAGTGGATAGAGCCTCTGCCTGTGGACTAAAGGGTCCCAGGTTCAATTCCTGCCAAGGGCACGTCTGGATTGCGGGCTAGATCCCCCCCACCCCCGCATAGTGGGCGTGCAGGAGGCAGCCAATCAGTGATTCTCTCTCATCACTGATGTGTCTCTCTCTCTCCCTCTCTGAAATAAAAATAAAAAATACTATCATAATTATAAAAGGAAAAACAAAAAAATCTCCACCAGGTGTGTATTGAAAGTAGAAGGAAGATGTGGCAGTACTAGTTTTCCTTTAATTTTGCTTTTGCATCTAATGGGCCTCCAAATGCTCTGGTGTCTCTTACCTCTTTTCTATTATGTATGCCTTCCCCCATTCCATAACCTAAAAGTCCTAAAATGGAGAATGAGTTATATACCCTTTTCCTATTTGACTGAGGCACACATGGGAACCATTCCAGTTTCTTTCCTCACCATGGTCCTCGACCTGAAACCTTGCATTAGCATAAATACTGGGTGATAGGTGGTTTTAGATTTCATCACCATTGTTGATGGACACCTGCCAGGTGATGTGCTATGCAATTTAAATGTTTAAATGCCTTACTGAATCACCATAACATTACAGGCTATTATTTCCATTTTGCAGATGACACACAACTGAATTTTAGACAGCCTGGATAATGTGCACAAGGTCACATATTTCTAGAATCAGAACTTGGACCAAAGTCTGTTTGACTCCAAAGATTACATGCTTATTGACTACTGGCTGCCTCAGTACTTTTTAGCTAATTCCTGTCAATGATTGTTCAGTGTTGCTATGGCATAAAACAAGGTTGGATAAATGCAGCTCTTAATAATGACTCTAAAATATATGACCCTGGCTCAACCAGTGTGGTTCAGTGGTTGAGCATTGACCTATGAACCAGGAGGTCATGGTTCAATTCCCGGTCAGGGCACATGCCCGGGTTTCTGGCTCAATAATGATTCTCTCTCATCATTGATGTTTCTCTCTCTCTCCCTCTCCTTTCCTCTCTGAAATCAATAAAAATATGTTAAAAAATAAAAATTAAAAGTAAATAAATAAAATATAAGGCCATGAGTGGATGAATTAGCAGGCACTCACAAAAAAAATACTTGTCTACTGACAGATACCTTTTGCTACCAAATTAATGCTTACTGTGTAAAAGCTTTGCTTGTTAATAAATTTCTTTTTAAAAGGTTGGATTGGCCAGAACCGGTTTGGCTCAGTGGATAGAGCATCGGCCTGCAGACTCAAGGGTCCCGGGTTCGATTCCGGTCAAGGGCATGTACCTTGGTTGCGGGCACATCCCCCAGTGGGGGGCGTGCAGGAGGCAGCTGATCAATGTTTCTCTCTCATCGATGTTTCTAATTCTCTATCCCTCTTCCTTCCTCTCTGTAAAAAATCAATAAAATATATTTAAAAAAAAAAAAAAAAAAGGTGGGATTGGTGTGAGGACCAAAATTTCCTTAACTGGTTTTGGACCAATCAGCTATAGCATTAAGGTCAGGTTGGTGCTCATAAAAGGTTAATGTATTTAATAAGTAAAAAGATTGTATAGGTACATTTTAAATAAAAGCATCCCACACAAAAATAGAAAAAAGATAGTAAGTATATAACAAAAGAATTACCAATGAATAAACATATAAAAGGGAAACAGGGAAATGCAATTTTAAACCACAATGAAATACCACTACACACCTACCAAAATGGCAAAATTTTAAGTCTGACAATTCTAAGTATTAGGAAAAAAGGTGTATCATATGCTGTTGATGGGATTCTAAATTGGGTCAATCTTTTGAAAAAATGGCTTTACCTAGGAAAGCTGAAATTATGCACGCCCTGTGATCCAGAGATTCAACTACGAATACAACCTAGAAAACTTGTGCATGTGTACACAGGATATCAGAATGTTTCTGGTAGCTTTATTCATTATAGCCCTAAATTATAAATAACTCAAATGTACATCAGTATTAGAATGGACAATGAAATGCAGCGATGAAAATTAATGAACTTCAGCTACACTTAACACCAAAAATGCTGAAACGAGTAATATTATGTGATGAATTCACTTAACTTGAGAAACAGGAAATAGTTTAGGAATGCAAAACTAGATGGCAAAACTATGGAAGCGACAATATGATTATCACAAAAGGACAGGAAGGAAGGAAGAGGTTTGATTGCCAAGGGGCATGTGGTTAAATTTCCAAGACTGGTAATGCTCCATTTCTTGAGTTTTGATTGTAGTTACACAGACACTCAAATTTAAATTACTCTTTTTTTTATAACTTTATGAGATGAAGGTTAACTAAATTTACTGTGGTGATCATTTCACAATATCTGTATGTGGAGTCATTATGTGGTGTACCTTAAACTTATATACAGTGCTCTATGTCAATTATATCTCAATAAAACTGGAAAAATTAAAATAATTCATTAACCTGTCTATATGTTTTGTATATATGTTATTTTGCACATATGGCAGAGTGGGATATAAGTCAGTGAGTTCCTGGTTGAAAAGAGAAAGTTATTGTAGGCCTGGGTGATCAAGAGAAAACGCTATAGAAGGGATAACTTTAAACTCAGTTTGAAGAATAAAAAGAACTGAAATTGAGAGGAAAACGTGCCTTATTTATATATTCCATAAATACACGCCTACCAAAGAATAAGTGCCTAATAAATATTAAGCTGAACCAACCAGAGATAAAAAGAAAAATAAATCTGGTTAAGGAAGAACATATTTACCTGTCTTAAACTGGAAGGCTTTTATAAGGAAGTTTGGAAAATAAAGCCAAGAAAGGTGATCAAAAGGCCACTAATTCTTTACAAATTATATGAGTTTTCAGAGGTTTCCAAAATACTCTCAGATACTCTATCTTGTTATGGAAAACAATCTATCATATAAGTCATTTAAACTTTTCCTGTAGGCAATAGGGACTCACAGAGAATGATATAAAATAGTGTATTGATTTAAAAATATTCATCTGGTGGCAGCAAAATACAATAATACAAGTATAAAGTTTTAAATGCCTGAACGAAGGTGGTGACAGGTAGGATTGAGCTGAACCTCTAAAGAATGAATCACTAGGTGCTGATGATTATCTACACAGTTATGGGAGATATCAAAGAAAAACAACTATAAAAATGTGAGCCCAGATGACTGGGAGAATTCTGATATCATGTATCAACCAGGACTTTATATATTTTAGGTACAAAGGTATTACCAAGAAGTGAGAAGGAACATCTAAATAAACATGTTCAATAAGTGGCTAAAAATCCAAGAACACTATTCAAGGGGGTTCATGATTAGAGACAGATATTTTATATCAGTTCAATGGTGATGTCCAAAAATATAACTAGATCCATTTTAAACTTATTCATCCTATACAACTCCTTGGTATAAAGTTCCATTTTTTATTGTCCATAGTAAAATGGTAGAGTAAAACACTGCTTATGTGACTCTCAAAGCCTGAAATAAAACTCTGAATCATCTCAAGCAGAAAAGCAATTAAGGAACACAATGGTGGAATCCGCTGACCATTACAATGGTGAAACTGGCAGGTGAGAAAATGAGAACTGCCATTCAGACACTTATTGGGCCAAGTTAGTATTCATGGGTTAAAGAAAGCTGGGGTTAGGTTTATGGGATGAGAATCTCCCAAATTCTAAACTGAACACTTAAATGAAAATTAAACGCAAACCTTCTAAAAAGTGTAGTTTAGCCTTAAATAAAAATTAAGTGCATAGGATATTTTAAAAAAAATCAAAACAGAGTACACATCACTATGGAGAATATTAAGAATGAAGTAATGTAGCCTTAAAATTCTTACAGAATGAAGAAAATAATTTACAAAGAAAAAAGTTAGTAGGGGAAAAAAACATCTTGAAGTAAAATGAATACACAGAAGAAAAATAATCAGAAAGCAAATGTAGAGTAAAAGAGTAAAACTGATGAAGATAAAATTGCTAAAGACCATTTCGGTTTAAATTTCATTTTTATTTTTCAAAACACAACCCAGGAGAAAATTAGAAAAATAATCATTCACAACTCCATCCTGAAAACTATTTTCTTATTCCTGTGCCCCCATTTCAAGTCTTTATCTGTAATTTTTATAGCTAGAGTCACAAAATAGACATTTTTATGTTCTCTTCCTTTTAAATCGATGTTTTCAAATGGAAAGAATGTTAAGTGTTCTGCACACATTAATCTCTCTCAAAAGTGCTATGAGGAAATGACTGATTAAACAACTCATCCAAGGACACAAAACTAGCAGAGCTGGTATTCTAAACCAAATTTGCCTGATTCCATACTCCACACACTTTTTATTATACCTAGCTGCAACATGATTACTATTTGGAATTAAACTAAGTTCTAGTAGGTCAAGAAAGTAGATTAGGACAAGAATGTTTAGCATCTTCTACATGGTAGACCTGAGCTGTCCAACAGTAGCCACTAGCCAAATGTGACTATTTAAATAAATTAAAAATAGAATAAAAAATTCAGTTCCTCAGTTGCACTAGCTATATATCAAGTGCTCAACTGTCACATGAGGCTAGTGCTACCACAACGGACAGTGCCAATGTAGAACATTTCCATCATTGCAAAAAGTTCTATTGGACAGTACCGTGTTAGACTTGTATTAACATATATGTGGAAACTGATTAAGGCATGAGTGATTAGCAATTTCTACTTGAGAATTCAAACTGGCTCTAGCTCAAGTAAACATCTTCTAAGTCACCAGCTTCCCTTATCTTGTTTAATGGCACCTTTCTCCATACTTTGCTTTATTTTCCTAATAGCACTTATCATCACCTGGAATTATCATGTTTATTTATTTATCAATTGTCTCCCAAAGGAAATACAACCTTCAAGAGAGCAGGAGCACTATCAACCTAGTTTAATACTGAATCTACTGAATAATACCTGGTACAAAGTGAATGTTCTAATAAATATCTATTGAGTTAATATGTTTAGAACCTCTGTTAGTCTCCAAAGATAGCTTCTAAAAATTGGTATATGTACATGATGCTCCTCACATCAAGAAATGGAGCTTAGCCGGCCCGTGTGGCTCAGTGGTTGAGCCATCGACTCATGAACCAAGAGGTTATCAGTTCAATTATGGATCAGGCTCAATTCCCATTAGGGGGCATGCAGGAGATAGCCCATCAATGATTCTCTCTCATCATTGATCTTCCTATTTCTCTCTCCCTCTCCATTCCTCTCTGAAATCAATAAAAACATGTTTGTTTAAAAAAAAAAAAAAAAGAGCTTATCTATCCCTGTGATTGCTTTGACCAGCAGAATATGGCAGCAGAGGCTTTCTGGAATCCTCAAGCATGGGCCTTAGGAGAATCGGAAGTGTCTGCCTCCTTCTTCATGGAACGCTGGCTCTTGGGACTCTGCCTTTTGGAACCCAGCCACCATGATGTGGACAGCCATGTGAAGGAGAACCAAGTCACTCCCATTACCAGCTCTAGCTGAGCTCTCAGCCAAGGTCATCACTGAGCCATGTGAGTGAGTCCTCTTGACTTCCGGCCCAATTAGGCTCCTAGGTGACTAAAGCTGTAGCTGAAACGTTAGGGAGTAGAAACTACAACTCAGCTAAACCCAGTTAACCCACAGAGTCCTAAGAAATAATAGTTGTTTCAATTAACTAAGTTTTGGGTAGTTTGTTGTGCAGCAATAGATAACTAAAATAGAGCAACTGGCAGAAAATAACTTTATCAATAAGCTTATTATAATCTATGATTTACCAAAAATGTATTCTCATAACTATATAATCTGAACTACATTAATTATAGAAATTTTAGCAAATACAAATAACCAAAAAATATTACAGGTAACCAGTTACCTCTTAGATGTTAATACACCCAGTAAAAATAATACAAAAAATAAATAAAATCTTTCCCATTAAACACATTCACTACTAGTGCCCCAGCAACGCCAAACATATCATCTTTCCTTAAAAATGTTTTTTATCCTCATTTCATTTCTACTGATGGCCCCTACTTTCCTAGTGACTCACATTTGAACTGTAGTCAACTTTGATTTTTCTCTCCCCCTTACTCAAAACATGTATGAATTGCTAGGGACTCAAGATTTCATTTCAGTCAATGCCACTGACATTTATTCCCGTCTTCCCAACCTCACTGTTACAAACCTACTTAAAGCCCATTTTTAAAATCTTGCCCTGCCCTAACCGGTTTGGCTCAGTGGATAGAGCATCGGCCTGTGGACTCAAGGGTCCCAGGTTCGATTCCAGTCAAGGGCATGTACCTTGGTTGCAGGCACATCCCCAGTAGGGGGTGTGCAAGAGGCAGCTGATCGAGGTTTCTCTCTCATTGATGTTTCTAACTCTCTATCCCTCTCCCTTCCTGTCTGTAAAAAATCAATAAAATATATTAAAAAAATAATAATAAAATAAAATAAAATCTTGCCTTGAATTTCACTGAAGCCTCCAAATTAGTTTCTTCTCTATAGTCTTTCTCGGCTCCAATCCAGAGTACAGACTCCAAACACTGCTTATAGATTAACAAATTCTAATACAACTGGTCCAAACCTGTAAAGTCTGCTGCCCCAAGAGCTAGTTACCAACCATTTACCTAGCACTAAAGTCATGCCATGGAAATCCTGAAGAGCTTTCCCACTGGTACTCACACTGCATCCCTTCTTTACAGTAACTTTCAACCTTTACAGCTTTCCTCATGCTGTTCATGCCTCTTGGCATTCAACTCTCAAACATCTTAAAATTCAAACCTCCTCTCATATGCTACCCATTCTGTGAAGTCTTTCCTGGTTTACTCAGTCTTCCTATGAATGTTCTGTGTCACTTCTTATACCCTAGCACTTAGAACATGTTGCTGTGTACACCAGTCATCTGTGGGTGTGTTTCTCTCCCCCATTCACTGTACTATAAATGCCTTGAGGGCGGCTGGTACATCCAACACAATGCATAGAACAAAAACAGTCACACATTTATGAAGCACCATATACACTGTACAAAATTTAAGTCATTATTTCTTATATATAGGAAGAGGGAAAATGGCACTAGATATTGTGTCAATATAACATATTTCTTTTCATTTATACCATAAAACTGGCAAGAAAATAAATAAAATGTGGCAGCAATAGGAACAATCATTCATCTACGAAGAGTTCTAATTAGACATCTATAAGTCATGAATTACTTCAAAAATGATTCTAAATATCAGAATGTGAAGTAACAGATACTCTTAAACCTCTAGTGCTGGGCAGTATAGCACCACGGTTTGTTAAATTTAATAAGCACAGATTTTGAAGTCAGACAGATAGGAGTTTGAATCTCAGACTTTGTAGATATGACTAAATTAAGGATCCTGAGGTGAAGTGTTTCCTGGATTATCCATGTGGGCCCAATGTAATCACAAAGTCCTTATAACCAGGAGGCAGGAGAGTCAGAGTCAGAGAAGGTAACATAATGGTGATGGCAGCAGAAAGAGAAGCAACAACAGCAGCAGACGTTAGAATGATGC